TTGCTGGGATTTATTGTTAACCTACAATCAAAGAGCATTCTGAACCCTACCAATGATAGAATTGGGCCAAACTTCCCACACAGAACCCCCAAGACCAACAGGATATACTGTGTTTTCTGGTGGTCTTTGTCGACATCCCCTCTGACACCCCCTCGCGACCCACCCAGGGGTCCTGACCCCCAGGTTGAGAAACACTGTCTTAAGTGATTATGGGATTCCTATTCAGAGTTGGACCTTGCTTATTGTTAAGTTTTTTCTTCGTGTCCTCTGTGAAATGCGCACCTATGGGTTTCCTTGTGTGCTTGCGCAGCAATCCGGAACTTCTAGAAATTTTAATGGTTTTTTAAATGATTATTTAGAGATATATGGAAGCTCCGCCCATCTCCCTGCCCTCCCGGTATATACGCCGCAGCGTGCGGCACAGAGGTAGTTTCTTTTTCCGCGCCAAACAGGCAGCATCTCTGGACTTCTCCTCTATTTCATTCCTTGGACTCGATATTTGGACTGTTTCTCGATTGCCCTCCTTCTCCTCTCCCGACCACAGACCGGTTGACGGCCCTCTTTTCTACTCCATCAGGCTAGATGTCTTCCCTTTATTTTAAAAATTGTTCAGCCTGCGGGCAACCCTCCCTGAGGCTGATAGACATTCTAAATGCCTCCTTTGTTTGGGAGAGGCACACAATCTCCAGTCTTGCGAGATTTGTTTAAGTTTTACTACCAGGGCTCGCAAGGGAAGGGACGCCCGACTTAAAGCCTTGCTCTATGAGCGCGCACTGGCTCCCCAAACGGCTCCCACCCCTTCCCAATCCTCCACCATTCAACAGCCCACTCAGCCTTCCTCCCCACGTGCTGGAGATAGGAGTCAGGCCAGGCGAACGCTTCCCTCGCGGAGCCGCCAAAGAAAAAATCTAAGCCCTCCAAGCAGACCACGAGGGCTGCTAAATTGAAAGAAAAAACTAACAATCAGAAAAAGGGATGGCAACTCACTGGTGTTCAGCCCTTGAGCCCTCCTACATTGCAATCTGTACCTCAACTCTCCAGTTCCGCATTACAGCTACAGGAACCGCTCCCAGCTTTACTGCAATTGGAAGACCCCTCCCACATTCCCCCTCTGTAGCTCCTAGCTCCCCACCTGGAGCTAGAAAACCAGCCCACTGCCGGTCTCTCTCTCCCCCCCCCCGCCCCTTCCTCTCTCTAAAACCTCACCTCCCTCATCTCCCAATCCTCCTCAGTGCCCGGAACCGGGGGAATCTCCTTTCCCCATTCAACCCAGTGCATCAGCGCAAGCTCCTAGGCGCCGCCACCGCTCGCCATCCCCAGCCTCTAACCACCCCCCAACTCCTCCCCAACCTACCAAAAGGATGCGTTCCGCTCCTCCAGAACACTCCCATCTTATGGGTACCGGGAGTACCCTTATCACCTCTATTCGTCCCCCTCCCTTCCCAGTTTACCCCTTCTACTACTCACCCCCCCCCAATCACCTCAGGGGACCTCAAACCCACCATTTCCATGATCCCAACTACCCACAACCCCCACGTGTGCCACCCACGGCCACACTCTCTCGACCTCCGGATCCCCAAGATGAGGGAGAGCCTCAAGCACTCTCCCATGACCCAGTCATACTTCCCCTACCCGATGCAGACACCATTGAACTAGAATCCACAGATGATACACCTATCATCCAGGATCCCCAGCCAGACCCTGACCCTTCACCTTAGCACCTTGAGGATTTCAAGAAATTCTCAGCTCTCCTGATAAGACTTGCCAGGGCCCTGAACCTCTCCACCCCTGAACCTTCAGACACTGTAACAGACCCATGCTTTACCTCCACTGAACAACAAGCACCTACATCCACTGTGTTGCCCACTTTACCATACCTCTTAAAAATCTTTAAAAAATACAGGAATTGCTCCAGCCTTGGTCTCAGCAACTCCTAAAAGAGTAGAAAACCTATACCGTATTGATTTGTCCTCAGCCTCATGGCTATCTAAGATGCCCAAGGCAAACTCGGTAGTAACTGATGCTCAACCAAAACCTGTCCAAATAAACCAGTCATCCCTCTCTGACAAAGAAGGGGAAAAACTGGACTCTATGGCCAAGAAATTCTATTCCTCAGCATGCCTTTTTGCCCGCATGGCCCATTATGGGGTCTACATGACTGTCTACCAGACCTTCCTGTGGAACAAAATCTCCCTCTATCTAGATCTATTACCACCAGCTGACCAACCGCTGGCGAAAGCTTTCCAACAAGAGGCCCTATTGCTGGCCAAACTACAAAAAGACCTGGCTAAAAACACAGCTGACACTTCGGGCAAGCTTATTGCCGGCTCGGTAGCTCTTAGATGCCATGCCTGGCTTAGAGCTGCAATTCTCTCTCAATCACAACGTACTCTCATTGAAAACCTCCCTCTGGATGAGGCAGGCTTGTTTAACCCTGAAACTGACTCTCAGCTTGAACACTCTCACAAAATGAAACAGACAGTGTACAAATATGACCAACAACCGTACACTTATCAATGCCAACGTTGGGGCTTCTACTACTATCGTCCCCAATTCTACAACAGACCTTACAACACCTCATTCTACAGGGGACGTCAAAGACCATATGCTCCTGCTGCAACCGCAAGACGCCCCCCTCTTCCCTCCAGAGGTCAGTACTGTGGTACCAGGTCCTCAAACAACAATAAACGTCGTTTTTAGCACATCCTTACCTCCCCCTCCCCTTTCCACTCAACCACTCACATATCTAGACAGACTACATCACTATCTCCCGCAGTGGCAATCCATAACCACAGACACCTGGGTTCTTGACATAGTAGACAGAGGATACGCCATTGAATTGGATACCTATCCACCAGTGGGCAATATCCTCCTTACTCAACCTTCCCCTGCCATATGGGAAGAGATAAACTCCTTACTTCACAAAGGGGCTATCTCTGCCACCCCTTCGCATACAACCACTACCTGCTTCTACTCTAGATATTTCCTAGTAGACAAAAGGGATGGTGAACTATGCCCCATCCTTGACCTTCGCAAACTCAACACCTTTATTACACCACATAAATTTTGTATGGTCACCCTTCCCAACATACTCCCCTTCATTCCTAAAGGATCCTGGCTAGCAACGGTGGACCTACGAGAAGCCTACTTCCACATCTCAATCAGGCAGTCACACCGCAGGTTCCTAACCTTCGCAATTCACAACAACCATTTTTCCTTCAACTCACTTCCATTTGGCCTTGCCACTGCACCCAGGATGTTTACTAAATTTATTTATTTATTATTTGAACTTATATGCCACCACTCCTCTGGGGCTCGGAGCGGCTTACAAGAACAGGCTAAAATCGAACACAATTTAAAACAATTTAAAACAATTTAAAAACAATCAGAGATCAAAGGCCCGTCGAAATAGATATGTCTTACATGCCCTGCGGAAAGCGGATAAATCCCGCAAGGCACGGACTTCAGGTGGCAGAGTATTCCAGAGTGATGGTGCCACTGCTGTGAAGGCTCTGTGTCTGGTTGCTGTTAGACGCAAGTGTACTAAATGCATGGCGGTCATATCCGCACATCTCCGCCAATGTGGCATAACGGTTTTCCCGTACCTGGATGATTGGTTGCTGTCCTCTGTGTCTAAATCCCAATTATACAAAGATAGTCATCACACCTTATCTCTCTTACAGGATCTGGGCCTAGTCATAAACCAGGAGAAATCCCATCTTCAATCAACACAGTGCATCCAATTCATAGGAGCCATCATAGACTCCACGCTTCAAAGAGCCTTCCTCCCAGAAGACTGCTTCCTCAAACTACAGCAGGCAATTTTCTCCCTCCAGTGCTCCCAACGAGCTTCTGCTTGGGCTATCCAGTCTATCCTCGGACACATGTCCTCTACCACAAATGTGACCCCCTTTGCCCGCCTCAGAATGAGACCTCTGCAAAACTGGTTGATCAGGGTCTTCGACCCTCTACACGACTCACAAACCCGGATTCTACATCCGCCTCACGTGGGCCTCCATTCCTTATCATGGTGGACAAAAGCACACAATGTATGGTCGGGGATGCCATTCAACCAACCCCGTCCCTTCATGTCCCTCACAACGGACGCCTCCAACTCAGTTTGGGGGGCACACCTCAAAGTTTTCAAGGTCAGCGGTCACTGGTCCCTGCAGGACTGACAATTCCATGTCAGTGCTCTCGAAATGATAGAAAAAGCCCTTCGGGCCTTTACCCGCATTGTCTCCAACCGCATGGTCCAAATTGTAACGGACAACACTGCGGTCAAATACTATCTCAACAAGCAAGGGGAAACCCAGTCACAGACACTACTATTGATCTCAACACGCATATGGGAATGGTGCATCCAAAGGAATGTCCTTCTCACAGCCATCCACCTCCCAGGACTAGACAACACTCTAGCAGACTCACTGAGCAGAGCATCAAAAAACAATCACGAATGGTGTCTCCACCCCACTCAGTTCCAAACCATCACACACAAATGGGGAACCCCCCGGATAGACCTCTTTGCATCCCGAACAAACTCCCATTGTCCTCTCTACTGCGCGAGGCTCCGCCCTCATACATCCCCAGGCTGTCTCGGAGACGCTTTCCTATTCCGATGGACACCAGGACTCCTCTACCTCTTTCCCCCCCCCCTCCCTCTAATATCCCCTGTGCTAGCCAAGATAATTCAGGACAACTCAGATTGCATCCTGATCACCCCCTGGTGGCCACGGCAACACTGGTTTGCCCCACTTCTCCAAATTTCCAATGAAGAATTCCTCCACCTCAACTTAACCCCGGATCTCCTCACAGTGGAGAACTGGCTAGTGCTCCACCCGGACCTTCACTCCCTCCGCCTGACGGCTTGGAGGATCAGACCACAGTAAACCTTTCTGAGGAAGTATCATGCATACTTCTAGACGCTCACAAGCCATCAACAAAAAAGTCATATGCCTATAAGTGGTCCCTCTTCACAAAATTTACGAAGCCATTGGGACACAACCCCTCCACGGCACCCATCCCTGTAGTGCTTGATTTCTTGGTTCATCTATCCAGTAAATGTTCCTCCATTTCCTCTGTTAAGTGCTACTTAGCGGCCATCTCATCATTTCGAAGAAAATATGGCTTGCTGTCCCTTTTTCAGAACCATTTGATTCAATTGTTCCTCAAGGGCTACAAAAATATTCACCCTCCCGCATCCCTTCCCCCTCCACAATGGAGCTTAGAATTAGTACTCTCTCAGTTGTCAAAACCACCCTTTGAGCCTATGGCTTCTAATGATATCTCCCACCTCTCCTGGAAAACTGCATTCCTCATGGCCGCAACCTCGGCCAGAAGGTCCAGTGAACTTACGGCCCTACGTTCAGACCCACCTTATATAAGGTTCCATGATGACAAGGTCGTCCTTCGCACCGATGTCACGCTCCTCCCAAAAGTAGTTTCCCCTTTCCATATGTCACAAGACATTATTTTACCAGCCTTTTTCCCTAACCCATCCTCTCAGTTAGAGGTGACCCTACATTCCCTCGATGTTAAGAGGGCTCTCTCCTTTTATTTGCATAGAACGGCCACCCAAAAGAAGTATCCTAAGCTCTTTTTAAAATACAGGAAAGACATGATAGGTCACCCTGTGTCGTCACAGGGTTTGGCCTCCTGGATCGTCTCGATGATTCGCCTAGCTTACCAATTGGCAGGCAAAGAACCACCATCTCACCTGACGGCTCACTCAACCCGATCGGTCTCCACCTCCCAGGCTTTTCTGCGAGGAGTTCCATTGGACCAGATCTGCAGAGCAGCAACGTGGTCTACTCCTTCCACGTTTGCCTCCCGTTACAAGCTCGATGTACTGGCTAAAAAGGATGCAGCCTTCGGCAGAGCCGTACTTTTTTCCTGCGTGGCATGACCCACCTCCAGGTCAGTAGCTTGCTATCTCACCCATAGGTGCGCATTTCACGGAGGACACAAAGAAAAAATAAAGGTTGCTTACCTGTAACCGTATTTCTTTCGAGTGTCCATCCGTGAAATTCGCACAACCCTTCCCGCCCTCCCCTCTGTCATGCCTCTACCTAGCTGCTAATTTTTTTGGCGCTGAGGAACTACCTCTGGGCTGCACGCTGGGGGGTGGGGAGATGGGCGGAGCTTCCATATATCTCTAAATAATCATTTAAAAAATCATTAAAATTTCTAGAAGTTCCACATTGCTGCGCAAGTGCACAAGGAAACTCATAGGTGCGAATTTCACGGATGGACACTCGAAGAAATACGGTTAGAGGTAAGCAACCTTTATTTCTCATTGATGTGTTTTGACACTGTTTTTACTAGATACACTTTTCTTAATCAACTTATTATTCTTTTTCATCTGTGTGGTGTTTGGGTGAAAAAGCCATCAGGTAGGCGGCTGGGCTTCAACACCTTGAAAGCCATTCAGAAATTTTAGTCCAAAATGTTATGGCCATGCCTTTGGTGGCATCTGGTTATAGAATACACCTGCTTTGGTCACTATTGCTTCATTTCTGGGCACAACCGAAAGTACTTTAAAACATTTTCTTAAGAACTTGATTTGTAATCTTAATTGGGCTGCTTCTGTGACTTAGTCACTATCTCAATTTTTTTCTTTTTGCATTTTTTCCATGAAAAAAAGGTTGGTTTCCCAGTCTTTCCAGTTTCTTCCAGTCGTTCAGATGGAAAACGGCTCTCACCCTTGCTTTTGTGAGCTGTAAAATCAACAATGTGAGCTCTGATGATAATGTTTGGAAGTAGATGGCCACATTAACTTGGGAAATGTTTGGCACCAGTTTCAGCTGGTTTAATTTAAAAGCTTCTTCCCCTTTTGGGCAGCATTTTTGAATGCTTTCATATTGTCTTTCAGGGTTACATGTCTCTGTGCTCAGTTTGAATCTGTGCTTCAGCATGGTTTGAAGAGAACCCGGGGATTAGCCTTAACTGCAGCAGCAATCAAACAGGCAGCAGGCTTCTCCAGTAAAACCGAAATGGGTAATTAAGGCTCTGTTTTCTTCTGTGTCTGTTTTGGAAAACATTTTAACAATTGTCTTGTGCGTAAACAACTGGCAATTTCAGTTTGAATTGAGAAGGAACTATGATGACTTGGATCCAGACATTCTGAATCCAAGCCATTCTTAGATCTACAACCTTTGAAATCTATGACTCATAAATTGAAAATTATTAACCTGAGTCCGTCCCGTTGATTTCAGTGGGACTGGGAAGAATTGCTAAGACTGGATCAAATCCATTATAGTTGGTTTCTCTTCCTCAGCCCTTCTCCATAATTTACAGCTCTATAATGTTAGGATCCTTTTCCATTTATTTAAATATAGTTGTATTTTATTGGAATTTTGTTGCTTGGTTTTTAAAAAATAAAAAAAAATCATGCAAAAATGATTTATTTGTGTTTAAAAGAAAAATAGATAAGTACGAATTATTACACGCATAACAGGAACTTTCAACAGGCAGCCCTCCAATGATATTGGACTGCAGCACCATTCAGTGGTAGTCCATGCTGGTAGTGATCAAGAATGATGGCGTTTGTAGTCCAATGACTTTTTCAGGGCCAGATACTATCTAATGTAAACTATCTTTAAACACTAGGAATGGGAACTCCCTGGCTTTCTACATACTTTGAATTATTACTCCCACAGTTCTTTGTGACACACAAATGAATTATCCTTCACCTTCACAGAGTACAACTCAAAGTTTTCCAGAGTTTTCCCTTTTTGTCCATTGCAGCAGGAGCACCAAGGGACTTTTTCTCATAGTGTGTGTCACTTTCAGTTTTTAGACCTTCTTTGGACATGGTTTGTTGACTACTATTGTTCTTCCATTACTCTCGATATTGGACTGTTCGACTACTACTGTTGACTTTAGCTTGTTGTTCAGTTATGGCTTCTCTCAGTGTTGTGGCTTCCACCGCTTTCTTAAAGGGCAAGATCCTCATGCTGGCAGTTAACACACTTTTGCTGGCAGTTAACACAGGTGCTGAATGGTGGTCTGTGCAGGCGCAGAATAGTTCATATGTGTCATTTCACAGATGATCACTCGAAGAACTACAATTAAAGCTAAGCAACCTGTCCATCTCCTGATACGAACTTGCCAGAGATTTTAAGACTTCATTGGCAGATTTTCTCAAATGTATTGTCGAAGGCTTTCATGGCTGGAATCACTAGGTTCTTGTGGGTTTTTTCGGGCTATAGGGCCATGTTCTAGAGGCATTTCTCCTGACGTTTCGCCTGCATCTATGGCAATAATCCTCAGAGGTAGTGAGGTCCTCATAGTGGACCTCATAGTGGACCTCATAGTGACCTCACTACCTCTGAGGATGCTTGCCATAGATGCAGGCGAAACGTCAGGAGAAATGCCTCTAGAACATGGCCCTATAGTCCGAAAAAACCCACAAGAACCTATTTTCTCAAATGTTTGTTATTTCAAAAAGGTTTTTGTACTATATATGTGGACTTAATTTTTTAAATGTATTGTGAATAGTTTAAAATAGTTTTTAAAGTTCTCTTAAATCCTGCTCTGGGAGAAAGTGCAAAAAATGCAATAAACAAAAATTAAATATGCAATAAGGTAAGATAAGATCCAAGGGTATCAACTAGCAGCTCCAAGTTTCTATGTGATTTTAGTTCCTGTTGGGATGCTTAGTGGTGAAGGATCATTATTATTATTATTATTATTATTATTATTATTATTATCTTTATTTGTACCCCGCTAACATCTCCTGAAGGACTCAATGTGGCTTACAAAGGCCAAGGCCTCAATAAAACAATAGTATAACAAATACACAACTTAAAGCAAATCAAAACATTAAAGCAATAACAAAAACAACAAAAACAATACACCATAACACAATAAAACTAAGGCCGGTCCAAATGTAATGGGTACAGATTAAAAAGTGCTGGGTGTGACAGGTGGTATGTCGGATTTTAGGGTAAGTGCAGTGTGTAGGCAATCTTAAAACTCTGATAAAGTGCTTCTGGGACATATTGCTGGAGTTTTCCTATTCTGGAAAGGCACATCGGAACAGCCAGGTCTTCAAGCTCTTCCTAAAGACTGCTAACCTAGGGGCTTGTCTGATGTCTTTGGGGAGGGTGTTCCAAAGTCGGAACAGTAGTCCATAAACATGTGAAAAACTATAGCATTCCCACCCGCCACCCCTTTCATTGGAGCCCCCGGTGGCGCAGTGGGTTAAAGCCCTGTGCCGGCAGGACTGAAGACCGACAGGTCGCAGGTTCGAATCCGGAGAGAGGCGGATGAACTCCCTCTATCAGCTCCAGCTCCTCATGCGGGGACATGAGAGAAGCCTCCCACAAGGATGATAAAACATCAAAAATCATCCGGGCGTCCCCTGGACAACGTCCTTGCAGACGGCCAATTCTCTCACAACAGGACGCTCCTGACACACACACACACACAAACCCTTTCATTTTCAGCAAGGTCTCTCTTCAAATGAAGATCACATTGGGGTTTTTAGTTCTAAATTATAGAAAGCTCTTAATCCACTTAGTTTGGGTGTTCCTACAATATATGGTTTAAGTAAATGTTGTCACTCCAACTAAAGCTGAGAGGTAGAAGGAGGAAAGGAACAGTTAAGTTGATTCCTTCTTGATGCTTTGTTGAGTCTCAGATGTAAGTGTTTTAGCCATGGAATAAACCAACTAGCTTGCATAGAATTCCTGACCATCTGTGATTGTTGTCTTGATAATGGAAATATTTCTCAATCTAACTTCTTTGATTTCTTGAGAATTCTTAACAACGTTTGTAAATATATACTTTTTCAGAGGCTATTTTCTGGTACTATGTGAAGGACGTTCTTAATAAACATGAACTACAACGCTTCTACTCCCTGAAGAATATCACAACAGATGTTGGCAGAGGTCGTGCCTGGTTACGCTGTGCACTAAATGAACATTCCTTAGAAAGATACTTTCATATGCTGCTTGCAGATAAAAATCAGCTTAGGTAACTTTCCTTTTAATGCTTTCTTGATGCGTAAATGTATGTTCATGGAGGCTGCCTGATGTGGTACTTAGAACTGCAGTAATGGCTAATATTTCTCTTATGGTATGAATTAAAGGTGAGCTGAAACTGTGAAACCCATTTGAAATTTGAAATTGCAAAGTGCTGGCTCATCATTTCTGTCTTCGAGGGATCTAGAGAATTGTTATACAGCCTTTATAGTTTATTCAGTGCTTTTTAATTTTACTTTAACAAGCAGCTTGTAATGTGCTGGATATGTAAGAATTTTATTGCTCCCCCATGAGCTTTTACTGCTGCCATGCTGAGGTAATGATGTAGTAAATATCAAGGTTTTTCATATACAAAGTAATTGATCATTCTTTTGTCATTAACTGGGCATTTGAATCTTTCTTCTTGTACCATATGTTGGAATATTGCATGGCAGGGGAGGTGAAAAGTCACTAGAATATGGTCCACTGTGGGTTCTTTGTCTGTCTATGCATTCCACATCAGTTTCTTATCCCTATCTTATATTACTTACCCTGGATTAGTTCAGGCGGGCAGAAAGTTACAGCAAAAAACCATACATACAGAAATACAGTGGCTGACATTTGGTAATATCAGGCTCAGTCCATTATTGGCATTAGGTTTGCTGTCTCATATGTAGATTCCCTTCCCAGTCTTTAACATGCTGCTGAACACTGTGGTGATGTAGGCCAGGGCTTCTTAAACTTTTCCACTTGCTACCCCTTTTGGTTTGAGAAATTTTTACATGACCCCAGTTTTTATGCATATAAAATCAAACATTTGTTGATAACAAATCAACATTTGCAAGGCTTGCTAAACAGGTTGACTTTTTTTATTATGTACAACTGAAGCATCTTCTGCAGAATCCATTGTAAACACTGCACAACACATTTGTGTAAATATCTAAAACAGCCACTAGTTGACATTAAAAAAATATTTTTTGGACACCAATATTGAGCTAAAGGGGACCACCCCATTCTTAAACTAGGAGCCATAATTTAAGAAGCAGTGATCTAGGCCAATGTGTATATTTATTCAATTTGGTGAGAAACCTGACCCATCATGAGATTTCTTTAGCTCAGTGGTTCTCAACCTGTGGGTTCCATAGGTGTTTTGACCTACAACTTGTAGAAATCCCAGCCAGTTTACCAGTTGCTAGGATTTATGGGAGTTGAAGGCCAAAACATCTGGAGACCCACAGTTTGAGAACCACTGCTTTAGCTGGGGATACAGGAGAGGTAATCTTCTACTTTTGGCATAACTGCCTCAATTGCATTTCCTTTCCTTAGCCAAGATCAAGTCTTTGTTTCTGATGTGCCTTGACTTGCTTTGTGCTAGCTGTTACTATAATAAAAGTTTCAACTGCTGGGTTCTGAAGGAGGGAAAGTGGTGAAACCACCTTCCTTCCAATTTTTTTTTAGTAATTAGCATGCCGTGGGCTTCAGATATACCAGCTTTTAGATTTTTGTGTGTGTCAAAAGTAACTTGACATTTCCAATACCTCATCAGAAAAAGGGTTAGCAAGTATCAAGCTCCTTTTCTACAAACAGCTTTGTTCTATTTTTGATATCTAGTGTCTTCTATGAAGACTGGTCCTTTATGATGGATGAAGAGCGCTCTAGTATGATTCCCACGATGGCAGCTGGTAAGCATCCTCAGTGTTCTTTGATAGTGTGTAACCTTGAAAGAGGCAACTGTTGGAAAGAATATTCCAAGTGCCATGTCAAAATATCAAGCTGGTGTTTCACAGAACAGCAGTTCTTTAATTTTTCTGTAAATTAAATATAATGCTTTGGGATAAACAGAAGTACACAGATATATAAATGGGCTTGTGAAATTCATTCTAGTGTTGATTGCAAACTCCTAGTTTGAACATCAAGATATTGATTGGTGCTCCTTACAGGGAGCAGTCAACCCTTCTGTTTAAGGAGCTCCACTGGCTGCCGTTCATTTTCCGGTCCCAATTCAAGGTGCAGGTTCTTACCTTCAAAGCCCTGAACGGTTTGGGACCCTCCTACCTGTGTGACCGCATTTCTGTGTACGAACCCACACGACCCCTTCGATCATCTGGGGAGGCCCTGCTCATGCTCCCACCTCTATCGCAGGCATGATTGGTGGGGACGAGGGAGTGGGCTTTCTCGGTGGTGGCCCCTCGACTCTGGAACTCACTCCCCAAGGACATCAGGCATGCCCCAACTTTGGCAGTCTTTAGGAGGAGCCTGAAAACGTAGTTGTTCCAGTGTGCCTTCCCAGAATAAGGAAACTCTATTCTAGTTCATATTTCATCTGTTCATGCTCAGCATTATCTTTAAATTTTAATTATTACATTTGACCCAGCCATAGGTTTTAACTGTCGTTGTGTTATTGTTAATGTTTATTGTTTATTTTTGCTATGAGTTTTATTTTATTGTTTTGTATTATTTTTTATTGCTTTATTATTGATGTATTGTGGGCTCAGCCTCATGTAAGCACCACCAAGACCCTTGGGAGATGGTAGCGGGCTATAAATTAAGTTTTATTATTTATTATTATTACTTAATGCATAACAGAGCTTGTAAATATTTATGTCTGGAATTCAGCTTCCAGAATTCCCCTAGCTGGCATACTTAGTTGCCATGCTAGCTGTGGGATACTGGAAGTTGTACTCCAATATAATTTTTACAAGCATGCTAGCCCAGCCCCACTATTTTGTACAGGTTGAACATCCTTTGTCCAGTATTCCAAATCTGAAATACTCCAAAATTGCTGAAATAGGGACTCCTTCACCTTCTGGTGGTTTAGTGTACACAGATTTTGATAATTTTGATGCACAAAATTATTTTAAAATATTGTCTAAAATAATCTAAAAATATTATCTAAAATTATCTTCAGGCTATGTTTGTAAGTGTAGATATAACATAAATAAATTGTATGTTTGCACTTGAGGCCCATCTCCAAAATCCACAATACTTCTGCACCCAAGCATTTTGGATAAAGAATACTCAACTTGTACCACTTGGTAGTGATTAGGGTTACTATATTTTAAAAAAATCAAACAAACAAAGTAGAAATCTAGTAAAAACCAAGTGTTGAAGTCTCTCTATTATAGAATTAGGCAGCACTGGACTAAATGGATCAATAGTCTGACATGGCATGTAAGCTTATGAGCCTCCTTGTATGAATTATCTCTGAGTTGTGCTACATAATGTCTATGATTTTGTTTATTTCCTCTGAAGGGTTGAATTCTATTCTTTTTGCCATCAACATTGATAACAAAGATTTGAATGGGCAAAGCAAGTGCCCACCTACAGTCTCTAACCTTCTTAAGGAATCTACACAGAATGTGACCTCTTTGTTGAAGGAATCTACTCAAGGGGTTAGCAGTCTCTTCAAGGAGATCACCGCCTCCTCTCCCGTTTCCATTCTAATCAAGCCTGAGCAAGATGCTGACCCCTTGCCAATTCTGTCCAAGAGTGTGAGTAGCGGTGAGTAGTATAGAGCAGATAACACTTCAGAGTATAGCTTATGTTTTCAGAGAAGATGCTTATATAGAGGGAGGGTGTGTTTGGGGCTATTGTACAATTTTGTTCATAAAGTTATTTTGTTTCCTAGGCAATGTCTCTTCTTTTCACACAATTACCCGCTTCTGACATACCCTACAGCAGCTGTTCTCAACCTGTGGGTCCAGAAATGTTTTGGCCTTCAACTCCCAGAAATCCTAACAGTTGGCATATTGGGTGGGATTTCTGGGAGTTGTAGGCCAAAACACCTGGGGACCCACAGGTTGAGAACCACTGTCCTACAGGGAGATGTCCTGCTGAAAGAAGCATGCTACAGATATTTCAGCTCAGATATAGCACACCCTCTGATTGTAGTGTATGAGTACAAACCTCATACCATTGGCTACATTGACTAGGATTAATGGATGTTGTAAAGCAAAAGACATTTAGAAGGCATCCATTGCCTACCACTCTTTTAATCTGTAGTTCGGGTACCCTCGATGTCAACACTGTAGTCATATTGATGCAGCCTAGAATTGCACTGGCGTTTTACCAAGCCTCCTAGATCCCTTTCACATGTTCTGGTTTCAGTCAAGTGTCGCCCATCCTATATGTATGCATTTAATTTTTATTGCCTTAGTATAAGTACATTTTAAAATGTAATTTTTATTCAAGAAAAAGCATAATAAAACGGCAATAGAACAAAAAAACCCACAGGTTTTTATATATCTATTTTTTTTTAAAAAAAAACTACACAACTAAATTCTGCCTGCTCCTACTACAACAATACGACTAAAGCATAATAGAACATAAAGAGAAAACACACACACATAAAAACAAAAGTAACAAACAAAATTATTAATCTATGGGCCCCTTACTGTCTGAAGGATATTATTTCTTAATCACCCTTCTGCTTTTGGTACTATTACAGAGGTTTTCAAACTGTGTATTGTGACACGTTAGCTACAATGTGTAGGCCTGTCATGTGAACCTAACGAGAAAATTCTGAGTCTGTGAAATAAGTAATAAATCATATATTTTCAAAAATATAAAAGGTTTTTCGTGAGATATGTTGTGCTCCTATACATTTTGTTATTATAAATTTTTGCATATGTCAGAACTTCTTATGAGAGGTTGGTTCATTCTCTGTAGTTGCGAGTAAAATCACGTCGTGAAAGAATGCATGTCTAAAAAGTATGTCACCTAGAGAACATGTTTGGAGAGCTTTGCTCTACTAATTCATACATCCCACAATTGACAAATGCTCCATCCCCCTGAGATGATGTTCTCAGGCAGAGGACACAATGGAAAAATAGAACACTAAGGAGCACGCAAGTATGCCTTCATTCAGCTCACATTAACAATCAACTTTAACCAAATAGATACGAGCCCTCCCAAACGCAATAGAACTACAGAACCCTAATTGAGCACACAAGCAAGCAAACAAGCCTTCTCTCATCTCACCCAAAGAAATAAAACAAGCTCTACCCAACAAATTCCCAAAAGATTTTCTGGAGCTGGGCATATTAACTCTAACAGACACAAGCATAAATTATGTGTGTGTAGGAGGGTGTCAACCCTATTTTCATGGAGGGCCACATCCTTCTTATGGTCAATTTCAAAGAGCTGTTGAATCCATGGATGGAGAATCCATGGACACAGGGCCAACTGTATTTTTTTTACATATTAGTTGAAGCTGGTAGCCCCCTGGTGGTGCAGCAGGTTAAACCGTTGAGATACTAAACTTGCTGAAGTTTGGAGTTCAGATCCGGGGAGCGGGGTGAGCTCCTGCTGTTAGGCCCAGCTTCTGCCAACCTAGCAGTTCGAAAACATGCAAACGTGAGTAGATCAATAGGTACCGCTCCGGCGGGAAGGTAACAGCACTCCATGCAGTCATCCTGGCCACATGGATGTTGTCTACAGACAACTCCGGCTCTGTGGCTTAGAAATTGAGATGAGCACCACCTCCCAGAGTCAGACTTGACTGGACTTAATGTCAGAGGAAACCTTTACCTTTACCTTAGTCTGGGTTCTTTAGTTTTTACCCAGTTTGGGCCCCCAGATGTTATTGAACAACAACACCCATCTTTTTTATTGTCCACCATGTACACTAGGGATAATGGGAATTGCAGCCCAACAGTACTTGTGGTGCTAAGATTAAAGGGCCTTTTAAAGTCAGACATCCTGTCAGGACCCAGAAGCCTTAATTAGAGCCAAACACAAGATAAGAGTTCAAACACAGCTTTATTGTACAAAAATAGTCTTTCAAAGCACTTAACTTCAGTGCAAAGAGTCTCAGTAGTAATTTGGCTCCAAAAACAAAGCGATACCAGTAACAAAAATATAACCCGGATTATAGCACTGCCTTATAATCTGGATTAAACTCAAAGTTAAGCAAATCGCTTGAAAATTGGCACAGCACAAAAACAGTCACAGAAGATGGAAAAACGATCTCCCAAAACGAGGAATTGTTCAAGCACAAAGTTATAAGAGTTTGAAGTCCAGAAAGCCAAAAACGATAGTCAAAGCGGTCCGTGGTCAAGCCATTGGTAAACAAACGCTGGAACACAGGAATCACCGAGGAACAGGAATTCAGGAACACACGAAGCTGTAGCCCAAGGACCCAAATCCAAGAGTTGGCAGTACAAAGAGTTATGTCCAATAAAGACACTTTGCCTTCTGCAAAGTATCATGTAAACAGAACCCACTTTTATCTCAAAGTTCCTCATCAGAGCTTGATGAGCTCCCCACCCTTTCTTCATCGCTCTCAGCTGCCCCCAACCCTGCAGCTGAATCCGAGCACCCATCCCTCCATCTCTGCCAGCATCTGCTAAGATTTAGATCCTGCCAAGAGGTCCCTGGCTGCCAATCCTCAGTGAACCCCTCAAATTCCTCACTGGAGGTGGGTTGGTTACAAATGTCCCTTATTTGTTGAACACGGGTCCAATCCAATTCCTCCTCTTCCATATCACTCCCAGACCCAGAACTCATTTCGAACCCCAGGAAATCCTCATCCTCTGTTGGCGCACTAAGTATTTCCCGGATGCGCTTCCTCTGCAATTCCCCTTCGGACTCCGGATCGCGAGCAGCCCTTTTTACACCTCTGCTCTCTTCCCCATCCCCCATTTCGCAATCAGAGAAGCCTTGAAATGTGTCAGTATCACTTGGGGCCATAATGATTTCCCTAATGCACTTACGCTGCTGTTCTCCCTCCAATTCCTGAGCAGACCTTTTCTCCCGGCTACCAGGAGTAGCAACGCTACCAACACGCTGAACTACAACACATCCTGTCCACAAGCCTTGTATCTAAATTCAAATCCCACTTTCCTGACTAAACAGACCAAATATAGCTTTCCAGATGCAATCACAGGTCCCATCAGCTCCTGATGAGGATGTCACCTGATGAGGAATAAAGGAGTTGTAGTCCACCATCTGGAGGGCCACATAAAACAATGTGGCTGGCTGTATATGGTCCACAGACCTTGAGTTTGTCACATGTGATTTGTTCTGTCTGTCACACCATACTTATGCAAAACACCCCTCTTGGCCCTTCCTGTTCGCTAAGCTCCCCTTTGCCGAGCTCCAAGGACTGAGGATCAATAGAGGTCCTGGCTGCTAACTCCTCCCCCCCCCCCCCCCCCCCCAAATATGTTTCTGATTCATTTGTGAATGATCTCATAAACTGTGTTGAAATTTGAATTTTTTTGGGTCTTTTTTCTAGAGTTAAAATTTAGGAAAGAGCGAATAAAGAAGAAGAAGAAAATCACAAATATTATTTTATTCGACGAGGACGACAAAGAAAGTATTGGGAATGTCTTAAGGGCAACAGTGGTAGGTGGAAACTCAGAACAAAATTCAGACAGACCTTTGGCCTACCTGGGTTCTCCATCAATAGACTCGCTAACAAACCTGAATGTAGACCAAAGTGTATCTTTGCTGAAAAACGATTCTGTGCACCTAAATGGAGAATGCACCTTTCCAAAACTAGACGTAAAAAGCATTGATGATGAAGATGTGGAAGAAAATGAGGAGACTTACAGTGAAATGTCAGGAACGCAGAGTGTGAAAGAAGGCATGGAGTATTGTGCAAAGTGAGTATTATTCCGGAGAGAGCTATGAATGGAACTTTAGTGTTTACCAAGAAAAGCAGTTTCTCAAAGTGTTCCCATTAGTGTTGTTTTATTAATGAATAGGAATAAAGAAGCTGAAGAATTTTAGATGGAGGTTTGTCAGATACGGTGTGCCAGTTGCACTATTAAACAGAGTGAAGCATCTGCCTCTGGGAGCAGTTTTGTAGCCAGGAATGTTGATTTATTTATTTGTTTAAATATTTATATCCTGCCTTCTGTCTAGAGATCTCAGGACAGCATGCAATAAAAACAGTAGAACACATTTTGAAACAGTGTAAGTAATAAATAATTTTAAAGGGCTAAAGATATTAAGCTACTTCACATGTTTAAAAAAGTGGTTTTGCAACTGCTAGTGATAGAGGTAAAGTGCTCCATTCATTCTATCTCCTATTTCAAAATAACTAGGGTGACTTTGTGTTGCACGGAGTCCATAAGAGTTCTCACTGAAGCATCTTCTATATATTTGTGGTCCGTGTCCCAATGCAATATAATACCAAATTGTTCCTACAATATCCATATTCCAAAAGTGTAACAAAGTTGGGGTTTCTGCCCTCTGTTTTTAAATACAGCCTCTAGCTTTCAAGGCTAGTTCCTTCAGTTAGGTGTAGATTTGCAAGTTAACATACTGGAAGATGTTAGAATTAAAGTATTGGATATCGTCTCCCCTGAACCATAAAATTCATTGAGAGATCTGGGTTGTTGTAGGTTTTTTTGGGCTATAAACCCATTTTCCTAGTTCCAACAGACCTCATTACCTCTGAGGATGCTTGCCATAGATGCAGGTGAAACGTCAGCAGAGAATGCCTCTAGAACATGGCCATATAGCCTGAAGAAAAAAAAAACAACCCAGTGATTCCGGCTATGAAAGCCTTCGACAATACATTGAGAGATCAACTGCCTCTGGTGGTCGTATCATACAATGATGCCGTATATATTCTCTCTTTCTGTTACAGTTATATAAACATTTGTGAGAATATATAGCTGGATTTATGGAATCCCTACTTGTCATGCAGAGGTTGCAGACAGAACAATGTCTAATTATCAATTAGCAGAGTGGTACTTTATTTAGTACATTATGCTTTGTAAGAAAACGCTACCAGAATATCTAAAGTTTTGTGTCCATTTATATGTAAACATTTACATCTCGAAACATCCAGGTATACCTTTCAGGAAGTTCTAATCTTTCCAACTTACATAATTACTAGCTTGGGTGCTCACCGTTGCTGGGATTATTTGTAAAAGTCAATTTTTTAATTGTACACCATGAATATGGTTGTGGATTAACTACAACTGACATCATGCTAGGTTAACCCCGAGAAATTCCATCAGTACTTAAAGTTTGTTATGTTGGGCAAGTTTGCTCTGGATGCATCATCGGTGGGGTTCAGTGTGCTCTCTGACTGCAGGGTAAACTACAACTCCCACTATGGTTAGTCAGTCCCCTCAAACTCCTCCAGTAGATTGAGTTAGTCATGGGGGTTCTTTTTGCCAAGTTTAGTCCAGGTCCATCATCAGTGGAGGTCAAAACCCACCAGTATGCAAATTAGGGCATATCAGGTATGCATGCCAAGTTTGGTCCAGATTCATCATTGTTTGGGTTCATAATGCATCCTGTATGCATCCAAGATGCCAAAGATGGGATAAGCCTATATATACCTTTATCTGTGTACAATTGTCTGTCTTGTCAGTGTATAAATGGCATTGAATGATTGTTGTATGTGTTCTGTGATCCACCCTGAGTCTCCTTCAGGGTGAGAAGGGCAGAATATAAATATTGTAAATAAATAAATACATAAACAACATTCTATGGCAGTGTAGACTTATGTAATCCATTTCAATGCAGTTAAACTGCATTCTGAAACTGCATCATATGGCAATATTGATTGGGTCTATAGCCCCTTCTACACTGCCATATAATCCAGAGTATTAAACCAGATAATCTACACTATGGATTATCCACAATCCAGTTCAAGGCAGATAATCTGGATTTTATATGGCAGTGTAGAAAGGACCTGAGTCTCTTTGATCTTTTCCCTTCCTTCCTAGCAAGTTGAGTCTGGATGAAGAGAATTAGAGAGGGAGAGAGAGAGAATGACAGCTTGATGTATTTCTTTTTCCATAGTATATTACACATGGCTTTATGTTGTGAAATGGAAGCATACTTGTTAAACTCTGACCTTATTCACATATATTTTTTCAAAATTCTTCTTTAGATCCTCTGAGGGCATGATAAGCAATTCTCTGGATAGCGCTTGGACTTCTCTTAAGATCCTGAACGATGATTCTGATGAATTGTTTCCCTTTACTACCGTAAGCTCTTTCTCCCAGACTGGTGAGCAATCATGCATAATGCCGAATATATCTGTGGCCAAATGTACTGAGAGTTCAAATAATGGCAGGATGCCTGATTGAAAACCCAGTGAACTGTGCTATTGTAACTACAAGTTCCCCTTGACATTTAAAATTGCCATTGTTCACCAGACTACTCATTTCCACCCTGGAATCTGACAGATGTGCTGGATTCTACACCCAACATGGAAATTGTAATCTGATACATTCATGGACACCGGGTTTGAAAAAACTCTAGAATTTATCTTTTTATCTTCCATTCATCTAGTAAATTATTGTGGTGTTTCTGATTGCTTATACATTATTATTATTATTATTATTATTATTATTATTATTATTATTATTAATAATAATAATAATATCCCTCTTTCTCTCTCCACAAAAGAGACTCAATGTGGTTTACAGTAACACCAAATGTAATACTATTTAAAACCTAAAAATATGCAAACATTAAAAAAGAATTGAATGTTAATGGTATTAAAATAAACTTTAAATCCTTAAAATTGATTTTAAAAGTATTTAAATCTAAAGCCACAGCACCCCTTGACTTGATCTTCAATCCTTCCTCCTTTAAAAGCATAAAAGAAGTTGGGTCAAAGGGTGGCTGCTGACTACTGTCACTTCGTGTCTGTTTTTAATTTTTAAGGAAATTCAGTAATATCCAATGGCATTGAGTCAAACACATAAAAGCAAAATGGAGTACTGGTCATGTTAAATTATATAAGTATATAAAATCTTCTGCATATTATTACTTACAAAGTAGTCAGTCATCGTAAAATGTCTTTCCATAAATTAGTATGCGTAGATGGAGAATAATAACTGTGTGGGTTTTCTTAATGGCATGTATTAATAAAGGGAAAAGAAACACAATTCAGTGAATGCCATACAAATATGTTGTCGAAGGCTTTCATGGCCAGAATCACTGGGTTGCTGTGAGTTTTCCGGGATGTCTGGCCATGTTCCAGAAGCATAATCTATGCAGCAAACCAGACTATAAAATAATTTTAGACTTTTTTTTCTCTTTAATAATTACATCTTAAAATAATCTGGCATAAAATGTTCAGTAATCATGTAGCAACATGGGTTCAGAAATGGGTTTTCAAACTTTTTTTGCACGTGCTATTTATCTCACTTGTGGCTTAGGTGGCAGTTCTTTCATGTTTTTGCTTTTTTTACAAGTTGAAATCTTCCTTTTGAACTCCTACAGACAAGCTCCACACTGCAGTAGAAATAGTGAGAAAGATTATATAAAATGCATACCTTCCCATTGAGGATAGAAGCTTCATGCAATTCTTTTTGAGTTTTTTTAAAAATATCATTCTGAGGCATGCTAGAAGTCTGTTTTGTTGTGAAAGATCTTTTCGTTATTGACAATCTGTTTTTACATCAGCAACTCTTTAGGGCTAGCAATATGAGATATAACTAGTCAAGTGTCATGTCAGCCTTCTTCTCCTTGAAGAATAAAGGATAGCCTCAAGGATCTGTAGTTAACATGTGTCATTTCTGCATTTTCCTAACAGCAAAATCAAAACTTGAAAGAACACTGACACTATGTTAAAATAGCAGCATTCTTTAAAGGAAGAGAAAACTTGACACATAGTTCCAAGTGTAGCCTCTGGGAATACCTGGCTGAATGATCTTACTTCCTTTCAATGCCACTGAATTCTGAAATGGAAAGTTATCAAAACTGCATACAAAGCAGCATAAGAATATTGCCTACGGAGAAAAGAGAGATGTGATCTAGAACAATGTTATATTTATTGTAATCAGTTTATCTAATGTCTCATTTTTAGGCGGCTTGCAGAATAATGGTGAGCATGAATGTGCTGATTTTTTACCAGAACTGACTCAGGGAAATGCTGAACTGCATCATAGGTATGTAGTCAATTGATTAATTTTAAAAGCAATACAGTTCGGGTGAAGTTAAACAACAAACCTTGCCTCGACAACTTGTGCTTGTCCAATTGACAAAGAAAGAAGAATCTCAATTTTATTTTTGCCTTTGGTATATGTTTACATATGTACGACTGCAAGTCACAAGCAGCATTGAAACATACTGAGTCTAGTACAAATGTGAGGAAGCATCTTGTAGATGCTGCTTCCACATATCAAATAATAGCCCTTTTTAGCATGGAGGGAAATTATCTAATTGGTGGATGAATGAACTTTGGTCTGAATATTTTTGTTGTCTTTTTAGCCACATAATAATCTGTTTTGTAGGTGTCACTATAGATTAATGTGGTCTCTTGATTTCTGTAGACCAACTGCAGATAAACAGGACTCAAAACTTACTGATGAAACAGTGCTGTTTGATTGTTTGATGGGAAGCGATAGTGATGATCTGCTTTTGAGAACTGCAATAAGGAAATGTAATGGAGAAAGACTTAAGTGACAGGGCACACATGTACCCTGACAATTTGATGACATTTGAAGGCATCTGTACAGTGAAACCACGTCCTTCTATCCTGATTTCACCTCAGATTAAGTGGTAGCGCAGCAGTTTACTGAGCTGCTGAATTTGAAATTTAAAGGAATACCTTGAGGAGGAAAAAAGTCTCCCTTAGTTGCCATATGGAGGGATTTTGGAGGAGGATCCTTACCTTTATTTAGAAAAAGAAAGACATTTCTATCTCTCTACTCTGACAGATCAAGTTGCCGAGTCACTACTGCAGAACATGAGTGCTGATATTGATTATAATAAAAGTTAAGAGGTAATAAATTGAGGTTATTGAGCTGGAGAAAGGAGTGATGGAGTGCTGCTCCATTGGTTCCATCTGATGGCTTGAGGAAGACAATTGATTGCTGTTAGAAGCATCCTCTGAGCAGGCACCATAGAAGGTGTTTGAAGAGGCTGGAATTCTTCATAGTATTGCTCTTTTCACAGAGTGGATTTCTTCCCCAATATCGTTTCACTTATTTTTCTTTTTTAAAGCAGAGTAGATGTTAAAGATCCAGTGGAAGAGAACACTGTAACTCACCTGTTGCCATCAACCAGCGTGTCAGAATCAATGACTGTTGGTAAGTTTGTGTTGAATCAGATATGGGAGATTTAAATTTTTCTAGGTTGACCAATACCAATTCTTGTGTTAGCATACGCTTTGGCCAACTTTGATTTTATCCTTCTGTAATCCTCACAGATTATGGCAGTCCTCCACCAATGCCACACTATCATGATTTCTTTTGGGATTTCTTTTGGTTTGCTAATAATAATAATAATAATAATAATAATAATGAAGGCATGATGTTTGGGAAGACTGATACAAGGATTGAAGTCTCAAATGAATTCAGACCAGCATATGTCATCAACTCCAAGATAAAGATATATATGTATTTAACATCCAGGCACCAAACATTGTGGTGTCTTTGCTTTGTTTTGTCAAACATCCTTTCAAAAATGTAGTAAAATTTGACCACTTTTCTCTGATCCTTTTTGTTGTCTCAGACTAACCTGTTGTTTTAAGTGAAAGCAACTTTTTTTTGTATTTTCTTAGAAACTAAGTGTTTTATTTTGATCTAGGAGTTATTCTTTTTGTTTTTCACCCTAAATGTAAACCGCCAGAAACATTTGGAATAGATCAGTTTTTAAATATCTTCATGCAGTAAATGTTGACTTATCATAGTCCTACTGACATAATAATAATAATAATAATAATAATAATAATAATAATAATAATATACTTTATTTGTATTCCACCCTATCTCCCCAAGGGATTACAGAATACATATATGGCATGCCATTATACAGTTAACAACAAAGACAGAGACAGTACATAGACAAATGCAATACTTCCCTCTTTTTCATCTACGGCATCTGGAGGCTGTGTTTGACTCCAGTCATGGGGTAGTGTTGTTGTTCCATTTTTCCATGGCAAAGAGCCTGTTGTTCATAGACACCTTCCTGATTGAGTTACCAGCATGTCTTCATTGGTGCCTTTTACCTTCCCACCAAAGCTGTACCTATTGAACTATTCACATTTCTGTTTTTGAACTGCTAGGAAAGCAGAAGCTAGGGCTGACGGCAGAAGTTCACCCTGACCTGCGGCTTGAACTGCCAACCTTCTGGTCAGCAAGATTTTCTCCAGCTGGCGGTTTAACCCAGTATGCTAACCGCAGCCCCTCTATTGTGTTCTACTGTAGCTGACACTAGCCATCAGATTTAGATAACTATGTCCACATTTATATTGTTAATATCTCTACCAAAGATGTATATGTAATGAAGTCGATTGTATGGCTTGGCAAAAGGCTGTAAAATCTGAAGTGTTCTGTTTGCTTTGCCAGAACATTTTAAAAAAGAAGATGTAGTGGCAGTTGGTAGTCTAGTGAAAGTGTGGAAGAAAAAAGTACCATATCTTCTGATGAGTGTTATAAATTGCTTGACAGTGTTATTCAGAAACAGCAATTCAATAAAGTGTTAACATTTTGGACATCAGCAGGGGGAGCAATTGCTTTTGCATTCATTGGCTGTGTGTGTTGCTGGTCAACTTTATTAAACGTTTTATAATAGATATTTTTAGTGGGTGATACTTAACCTCATTTTCTGCAATGCTGAAAGCTGATTTAACCATGGAATTGAATTGGAGGAAAATTCCTGACAAGGACGTCCTTTTGAGTGCATAATTTGTGACACAATTGTGGTATACTAATTTGTGAGCTGCTTGTTAATTGTGTACTTAAAATACATTTCTTTCATTTTCATTTATTTATTTATTTATTTACCGTATTTCTATCCCGCCCTGTCTCACCCCCAAGGAGGTACTCGTGTTTACACCTTGGCACAATTAGATGCCTCATCAAAACATAAACATAAGAAATTCTAAATACATTAAACAGTAAATAATTACACATAAAACAATCACATATAAATACAATTAAAACAGGATTTAAAACAGCAATTAAAACAAGCCCAAAGTCTGTAATCAGAGTCCATGAGCCATTCAAGTTACAGTCACATTGATTTTTCTTCGTGGCCTCTGTGAATGCACACTTATGGAGAATCTGCGCCTGCGCAGGTCCCAACGGAAAACTTCCCAAGTTGAAACTTTTAAGTTTTGGCGGTAACTCCGCCCAGCCGCCCGCAGAGCATAAAAGGCGCCCCGCGCGCGCACTCCGCCATTCCTGTTTTTTACACTGCACGTCCCGCTCGGAAATCCCTATTATGTCAATTACTAGATTCAAGCGTTGCGTTCAATGCTCTAGGAAACTGCCTGATTCAGACAAGCACTCAAAGTGCCTCCGGTGCCTCGGCGAGGGCCACAATACTTAGACTTATCGACACTGCCAGGCCCTCACGGCACAATCAAGAAAAAATAGAGCAGCTCGGCTGAAGGTGTTGCTTTACAAACAGACTTTAGCCCCTCAGCCGTCTACGTCAACAGCTGCGATGTCTCAGCCGCCGTCTGCTTCTTTGACATCTTCGACTTCCCTGCCACCGAGACCGGCCTCGGTGGCTTCTACGATGTCGAGAAGACCTCACCAAGCCAAACAACCCTGTACTCTCACAACACAGACGGTATCGGCGAGGCGTCCATCCACGTCGAGCTCTGTGGCTTCCGCCACTCCACCATCGACCTCGGTCAAGCTCAGCTGCAACAACAACAACAACGCTGAACACAACAAACCAAGAGGTCCCGGTCTCATCAAACAGACCAATGGCAACTCAAGGCGTCGGGTTTGATGTTTTCCCCGATGATACCAGATCCGTGTCCGCTACTTTTGCCGTGCCCACCTCGCTCTCAGTCGTTTACCACCAAACCACCGCCCTCACCACCACAATCGAGAGTCCTGCCAAGTTTGGAGACCGTCTCAGAAATTTCATCCATGCCTGGCACCACATTACGTCAGATGCATGGGTGCTAAAGATTGTTCGAGACGGTTATGCGTTGCAGTTCAAAGACTTACCTCCAACCGGGGTCATTGTCCGAACTGACCCATCTCCCACAATTTTGGCAGAAGTCGACTCCTCGTTGGCGAAAGGGGCGATCCAAAGATTTCCGTCTCGTTTAGACAGTCGTGCCTTCTTTTCAAGATACTTCACGGTACCAAAGCCGGACGGCTCTCTTCGACCGATCCTCGACCTCAGGGCACTGAACAAATTTATTCAACCAGCCAAGTTCAGAATGGTGACGGTATCGTCAATTATCCCCATGCTTCATCGAGGCGACTTTTTCGCATTAATAGACTTAAAAGACGCATATTTCCACTTGCCCATTCAAGAAGGACACAGGAGGTTCCTCTCTTTCAAGATAGGAGAAAAGACTTTTTCGTTTACCGTCCTCCCGTTCGGCCTCGGGACGGCTCCCAGAACATTTACCAAATGCATGTCCGTTGTTGCTGCGTACCTGAGAAGGAAAAAGATCCGCATCTTTCCTTACCTGGACAACTGGCTGCTGGCCTCAAAATCTTCCGACCTCCTCCGAGATCCGATCGCCTTCACCCTCCAACTGCTGCGGGAACTCGGCCTCCAGTTGAATGCCGAAAAATCCCACCTCACACCAACGACATCGATAAAATTTATTGGCGTCGACTTCGATTCCACAAAAGAGAAGGTGTCCCTCCCAGCGGTCAGATTCCAGGAACTTCAGCGCGAGATCACGCGATGCCTGCTTTCCACCAAACTCAGAGCTCACCAAGTCCAAGTTCTCTTGGGGCACATTGCGTCGACAGTGATGGTCACGCCTTTTGCCAGGCTCAAGATGCCCCCCATACAACGTTGGTGCCTCGACAACTTCGACTCTTGTCGAGATCCCAAAACAAAGGTCCTGTCGATGCCGGCCACAGTTCAACGCTCCCTGAGGTGGTGGATGAGTCACCAAAACGTTTGCATAGGCCTGCCCTTCCATGCGAGACAGCTATCAGCTGTTCTCACAACCGACTTGTCGACGTTTGCCTGGGGCGCCCACACAGGTCACTTCTCCATACAAGACGTGTGGTCCCCAAAAGAGCAATCACACCACATAAACTATCTGGAGTTGTTAGCCATTTTCAAAGCTCTRAAAGCTTTCCTCCCCCTCCTAACAGGACAGGTGGTCCAAATCCAGACAGACAACATGGTGGCCATGTATTATATCAGGGGTCCTCAAACTTTTTAAACCGGGGGCCAGTTTACTGTCCCTCAGACCGATGGAGGGCCGGACTATAGTTTTTTWAAAAAAAAAATCAATTAAAAAATTCCTCTGCACATTGCACATATCTTATTTTGCTGTGTGGAAGGGCCCTTAGAGGGGGTTCATTCTAGCCCTCTCTAGGCAGTAATTCCAGGAGCAGAGAATGGGAAATCTTCCTATTTCTAGTCTGACCAAAAATCTGGCTACCAGTATTTAAAAAACTCTAAAATTATAACTGTAAATAAAGAYCAACACTCAAACACAGGGGAACTCCAGACAYGAAACAATCYMGGCCAGCTAATCATCTCTCAACAAAGGATTCTCCCTAAAAACTGTCAGGCTATGAAATGGCAATCAAGGTGGCCAATTGAAACATTCATACCTACCTCCAACAGACATGAGTTCTTTCTCCCACCCTGGATCTTCCACAATTTTCCTGGTGAAAGGTTTTCCTCTGACATGAAGTCCAGTCGTGTCTGACTCTGTGGTGCTCATCTACATTTCTAAGTCAAAGAGCCGGCGTTGTCCATAGACACCTCCAAGGTTATGTGGCCAGCATGACTGCATGTAGCGCCGGGGCAGCCTCCCTTGGCTGACTCACGCTGTCCATCAGGCCTGACGGATAGCATGAGCCTGCCAAGGGGGGAGCAGGCCCGCGCGGCCTACTTGCGAGTAGACCACGCGGAGCAGCCTCCCTTGGCTGGCGCGCGTGGCCTACTTGTGAGTAAAGCACCTTGCGAGGTGCTTTACTCATGAGTAGACCACGCGGAGCGGCCTCCCTTGGCTGGCTCACGCTGTCCATCAGGCCTGACGGATAACGTGAGCCTGCCAAGGGGGGAGCAGGCCCGCGCGGCCTACTTGCAAGTAGACCACGCGGAGCAGCCTCCCTTGGCTGGCTCACGCTGTCCGTTAGGC